AGCAGTATCTTATACTTAATTCTTTCCTTGATCGGCARCCAATGTAGCTTGAACATTATAGGTGTTATATGGTCAATCACATCAATATTCGATACAAATTTGTCCTCGGATCTAGTTAGAAGCAGGTCCAGGGTATGGCCCTTCTTGTGAGTAGCGGTACGCACATGGTTTTTGTAGTCAAATGATGTGATAAGATCAAGGAACTTCTTAGCTGAAACATTATTTTCATCATTCACATGAAAATTGAAATCCCCTGCGATGAGGACATTTCCACTACCACGGTCAGGTACAAATTCTTCAAGTAGAGTTGAGAATTCGCTGAAAAAGATGGATTCATTTAAGTTATTTCCTTTTGACCGTGGAGGCCGATATAAAACAATTATTCGTATAGACTTTGATACTGATTTCACGGTTAAATCCATATGCTCAAACGATTGAAACTTCAGATTCTTGTTATTGTGCTTTAGATGCAAAGACTTTCTATAGACAACAGCAACTCCACCGCCACGTGTTTCTCTCGGGACATGTAGAAATGCATAACCATCGGGCACAATCTCGTTTATTTCCATTTCGTCGATGTTCCCGGGAGAAAGCCAGGTTTCTGTTAAAGCCATGATATCTACTTTGCGGTCAACAACGTAATCATGCACGAGTGATGCTTTGTTTTTAAGTGATCTTGTATTTAATAAGCTGAAATGCATCGCTGAACTTGGTTTGAAAGACGGAACCATAGGTGTACGTGCAATTGTAATCAAATTGTTCTGCTTGGGTCGTTTATAATACATGTTCATATTCCTGGGCCGTGCTGTAATTCTTGTTGAAATGGGGAGGTATTGTTCACTGTTCCATTGCTCATTAGTATTCAAAGTCGACCATGTATGAGCAAAACCTGAAATAAAGTCTTGAAAATTGCGATGTGGAAGACTGCAATAATCCTCCAATAAAGTATGTTGTTGACCACCAATCCTAGTTGTCGGTGTGACAAGGTTTCTGCGTAGATTATTAAACCTATATTGGTCATGACTTACATTTGTGAGAAAAGAATCATAGTCRTTCCAATGGGTTACGATCTCAGGGTTTGAAGTAAGACCAGAAATGCCATTACTGAGAAGTTGAGTTTGATCCAGAACTTGTGTTCTTGTTTTTCTTYGCGTGATTCTTGTATCCTCTGGTCCTGGCTGTGGATGCACATCRCCACAGAGACTAAAATATGCTTCCAAGATAACACTGGAGTCAAACGGTAGAACAACTAAAGTGGCTCCCCGTGAAGAATATTTGACGACAGCGACACTGAGCGAAGTTGAACAGCGACAATTTAAAACTAGACGTKGTGTAARTGGYAGAAATGAAATGCCACAAGAACTGTTTGCTATCAATAAAACGAAAAACGCCAAAAGTCGGAGCACACTAAAACCATGACCAGCCGCCATGTATGCATGYGTATATCAGACACCAGCCATTTATGATATAACTCGCCACTCCAGACCTGCTTATTTGGGTTCTCTCATATGAAGTAAGCAAAGCTTACCTAATGATAAGGTTAATTAATCAGGTTGTTACAAAGAATGGCAAAACCATGAAAAGTTTTTCTCTTTCAAATAGTTATATTCCCAAATGTTAAGCTTGGCTGCATAATACACCAGCCATTTACAATATAACTCCACCCCAGACCTGCTTAATTGGGTTCTCTCATATGAAGTAAGCAAAGCTTACCCTAATGATAAGGTTAATTCACCTTTTTGGCGCTAGCTTGAATTGTGTTAAGGTCACCAAAAAGTTCAGATATGGTTCTCAGATTTCCATACAAATTCACTGACTTTAAAGAGAAAATTTAGGTAGATTTCTTTAGTTAGCTATCTTAACAGCAGTAAGAAAATTAAGCTTCAATCAAGCTAGAAAAATTATTATTTACTTGTATTTAGAGAACTAACTAAACATTAACCATGTAAATAGTTCATTTAGTGTCAGTACATTTGTACCAAGACTCGAGAACAATGTCTGAACTTTTTGGTAACTGTAACACAATTTTAAACAATTTATACCCTGTGATGGCTAGTCCCAAAAAGGTGAATTGAATTAATCAGCTTGTTACAAAGCTGAGTGACAAAACCATGAAAAGTTTTAGTTATGCTGTATGTCGGTATGACAACTTATAACCCATTCTTCTGCTAAACTTAAAATTTTCCACAAAAGTAAAATAAGTTATAAAACTAGCTGCTGTGAATTCTAAATAGTTTTGCATGTTGAAATTAGTTTGTTCTGCAAACTTGAAACTACTTAGCATTAGTTTGTATTAAATTGAAAATTACAGTGCAATTATGCCTTTATTTTACTAAACTTCTCAATTATCTTTTCTTAGTTAAATCAATGGAAGAAAATGAGAGTCATAAAATTCATATTCAAATTTATTCAAGCAAAGATTCAGCTGTCATAACAGTTGATGGGACAAAGGTATGGCTTGTGAAATGAGTTGCTATTTGTGATACATTTATATGATACCA